TACATGTACGTTTTGGGGGTATTGTTTTGTAATGAATCGTGTGTGCTGCAATCTAATAGTTAATGAAACCAATAACTAAATAGGATTTTAACCCCGTTTGAAAAGAATGGCTTGCTCTATTTCATACATCAAATGCTCACTTACACCCTCAAATCTGAAAGGAAAACATTCATCCGGGCCCGGTTCCACAAAGCGATTTTAGCGCTAAGTCGATCGTTACTCCTTTTCTTTAACACTGGAACGGGGTCCAGATCCGTATTTCTTGTATTTGCACTTCCGGGTATATTTACTTTTACTCTATTCTAAAGAAGATATCATATATATGTCCTGCTACATAGGTAAATGTCACAGTCTTATGTAAATCAAAGTTTCAGGATTTCAGCTTATACGTTTGGGGGGATTTACATATGATTGGTAGAATATACATATTGACTGGCCTCATATTCATATTTGCCTCATGCAGCAAACAGGAAATTTCATTTTGAACGTTAGATGACTTTGCTATACAACATGAATTTATTATTCAATTTCTTTGATGGTGTGACACTAGTATTCTAAATAGCGTCTCCATTAAACAATGTTTATTGAGTAGATATCATCGTGTGTGTGTTTCGTCATATGAAAACATATCCTAATTTCTCTTTTGAACAGATGACGACAGTCGCGTTGTTCTGATGCCAGATGGTGATGCCACATGGAACTATATCCACGCCAGCTACATAACTGTAAGCCACACTTAATCAAATGGTTAGCTATTCCCGAATGTATATTATTCCAAACTGCCCCTTGCAAATAAATGAGTGAGCGAAAAGCAATTTTGTATGATGTGTTTGTCATCTGAAACTGCACAATATGTGTGTTTGTTTCAGGGCTTCTCCGAATCCAGTGTGTTCATTGCTGCACAAGGTATATGTCTTGAACGTTATTATATGTTTGGTAGATAGATGACTGATTCCTCATAAACACATATACAAAACTATTGCTATATCATTTCCTTCATTGCAAGCCTACAAAGTGGATCTGTGAACGGTTTTATTTACATACGTGATTTTGGATGACCTCCTGTGTATATTTGTTTATTTGTTTGTTGTTTAACGCCACGCCCAACAATATTCCACCTATATGACGGCTGTCTTTAAATGATCGAGTGTGGAACAGACAGTCCAGTGATTGATATCATGAGCATCGATCCACACAATTGGGATATGATGTCATGCATCAACCAAGTCACTGAGCCTGACCACCCGATCCCGTTAGTCGCCTATTTGTCGCCTAGTCCTGAAGACCTGTTCTAACCCGGATCTTCGCGCGTCGGCCTTCTCTGACCCGGAATTCGCCATCACACTACCAATGCCTGTCATATACCATTACTATGGACACACACTATTTTCAAAACTAAAGGTTGAAATAATCTCATGGTCATGGTCGTGGTATTATATTCCAGGACCAAACCCTGTCACTGTGAACGATTTCTGGAGGATGGTGTGGCAGGAAAACGTCTCGATAATCATCATGCTAACTAGAATCATGGAACTAAACAGGGTAAGCTGAACTGAAAAGTAAAGAGTTTACTTGAACACATTCCTCTTGTAATAATCTGTGATGGTAACAAACGTCTGTCTCCCTTTGCCTTTCCCCTTCCCTCGAGCAACCTTGATATAACTGATAGGCGTTGAGAGCCGTCTAAAATTAGAATTTAGAGGCGCATGATTGACTTTTTCAGATATTAATTATATTACCTATATATTAAGTGCTGAAACATTACATTTTGCAGTCAAGGATACACATAACCATCCACTTTCTTTTCAGAAAAAGTGCGAACAATACTGGCCTGACGAGAAAGAACAGAAGATGTGTGGTCGCATTGTTATCAAGCCACTGTTGGCCACAGTCAGGGCGGACTTTACCATCAGAAAATACAGTGTTCACCATTCTACGAAAGTAGGTCCTTTGGTCCTGCGCGATACTGAAGCACATGTTGCACATAGGGTGTCTCCCGAGACACGTGACTTTGTCCGAAATATGCCTCTCTTAACCCAGCTGTTAATGGGTACCCGGTAGGATGAAATAGTAATGTGACACTCACTGTTTACCATCTAGCCCCCAACAGGAAGCTTTGGTCATATACCCCTAGGGAACTGTGAAATGCTGTGATCTGTGTGATAACAGTGTAGCGCTTTGAGCATGCTTGTGTTGAAATATAGCGCAATATAATTGGTATTTTATAATATTTACTATATAGTCGGAATCGTACTCTGCTTTTAGCAGATATGTCTTGTGGCTATTAAAAGGGGGTTTGTCGCTTTTATCATTATTATTATTTGTACTGAAATACACTTAATATAAGGAAATCAGAGTTGTGCAATATGTTGTTATCAGAACTGACACTTCCTCCGTTCCATATAAGTGAGTGAGAGAGTGAGTATGGTTTTACGCCGCTTTTAGCAATATTCCAGCAATATCACGGCGGGGTACACCAGAATACGGGTGTTCGGCATGACGAGCGAACCCTTTAACCACTAGGCTACCCAACCGCTCCCATCCCATATGAGACATGTAGATCTGTTTCATTTGAGATGCTATTTCTAGCCCTCTGACAAGAGGACAGTGACGCAGCTTCACTTCACGTCCTGGCCTGACCACGATGTTCCTTCAGCGCCGGCTCTGGTCGGTTTCTGGAAGCAGTACAGGAGTCTGACGTCATCAGAGGAGGACATTACCGGACCTGTTGTAGTTCACTGCAGGTATGTTGCCTGTGACATTTCCAAGATATGTTTGCGCTTTCAACTAGAAACAAAATACCTCTAGCCATTCAAGTGGCACCGTTTGAAGACCTGCACAGTGATACCCGTTTCCAGAGGGTACCTTCATATGTATCCAGCATACCCATTGATGTACAGTCGGATACACTGATCTTTTGACTTTTACATATTCTTTTTACCTATATCATGTAATCCTCATTTGAAAGATTTCATCTTTTTTGACAGCAAAATTGCAGGATTCATATCAAACCATGCTTACTATAAGATGAGATGTGTGTAGGCATTTTCATCTTTTTCTACAACATACTGTGCTCAATTTACTGTACTATAGTCATATCGAATTATTGCATTATTGCCATGTAAACTTGGGAAACGTATCTGCAAGAACGAAATGAGAAATGGAGGATAGGCTAACTCGTTTTTCTCATATCGGATCCCTTGCTGACTGATGTTTCTGTATCTCCTTATCATCACTGTATATCTCATCTCCGAGTACTCAACCTCCACATAGAATTCCCTGGTAACTTATTCCTTGCTGTTGTTATCTCCATATCACCTACTGTGTATCTGATCTCCAAATGACTCACCTGCATATCTGATTTGCTGGCAACTTATTTTTTCATGGCTTCAGCGCTGGCGTTGGACGTACGGGGACGTTCATTGCGCTCGACAACCTCTTTGATGAAGCCGAGTCTCTGAACAAAGTAAACGTGTTCTCGTGTGTGTCCAAGATGAGAGAGGCTAGGATGAACATGGTGCAGACTGTGGTAAGTCCAAACTGTGAAGAGGCTAAACATGATTGTTTGGTAGCATCATGACAATTATGTTACTTTTTCAGTTATATATGATAACCACAAGAGACTACATTCTAATGACGACATTTGTTTGCATGTTTCCAGGAGCAGTACCGCTTTGTTCATGATGTTCTTATTGAAGCTCTTGGGAGCAGGGGGACTTTTTATACCTCTGCTGAATTTGAGAAAACAATTGGAAGTGGTTTGACATATACCAGACACGAAGAGGCGGAGATGAACAGGCAGTTTCAGGTACAACTAATGGGCTACGAAATAGCTACACTAAAACAATGCTTCGTTATTGTGTTGTTGGAAGGGGGCTTTGCAAAGTGGCTTAAATGCTCACTCCTCACGGTTCTGTGATATTGCTGGACTCTTGCTAAAAGTGGTGTAAAACATACTCTCTCACTAACTGTTTTGGCTGGACCAGTGATATTTGAGTATATAAATTATAATCTAACCAACTTGAATGTGATGACGGAAATGACTGAAGGATTTAAGCTTTCATTTATTTATGTAACGTTTCGGTACAGATGCTAGTATCAACCACGTGGGTAGGACATGGTTATATATCAAGCTTTACATATACAGAGACTAGCAACATCATGTTACAACAGTGATACTATGTGATTCTATGTGATGTAGTCAAGGAAAGCCGATGCGATGAATTTACCTTGATGTCAAATAAGTCAGTCCTCAGCTAATCCTGGTGCTTCAGCTTCTAAAATCACTTGAATATATCTATAAATCTTTTTAATTACACGTATACTGTCTATATATGTTTTCTCTCATATTAATTTGTGACATCAAAGATGTGTGATCTTTAATGAACACGCCGTACCTTACATTGCTTGTTTCCGCAGTCACTCAAAGCGATGCAGCAGGATGTAGATGATAATGCAGTGTCTGCAGCTCAACTCCCGGAGAACAGAAGCAAAAACAGGAATCAAGACATCGTACCAGGTGAAGACAAAAGCAAAATACTTCTACGTGTTGACATTTTAGGAGTCAAGGAGTTGATGTTAACATTTTGTTCCTTCTGCAATCTGTTCAAAGCCCTGTCATAAGCACGAATTGGAACTGGTGTTGGTCAGCGGGCATTCCATCCACCCACATTCACATTAAGATATTTTAAGTTACTATTAGTTAATATTATTTCTAAACAACACGCACCTTGTTCAAAATTTGAATCCACAAGATTGCACGTGCACTCGTCATGCAAGATTTAAAATGTTTAGAAATAACAAACAAAGATATGCAATTCCAATTTCTGACACAAAATACACACTGCCTAACCATGAGTATTTATGTTCGTTTTTGCGTCGTAATCTATGTTTAGATAGTCTGATATATTCTACCACACTATCGGTGTTTAGTTTAGGGACCACGCAAGATTACTAACCTTATCTTCTTTAGGAAATAACAAATGTCATTATTCTTTCAGCGAACAATGTTCGACCCTATCTTTCCACTCCCGTGCCAGGCCATAATGACTACATCAACGCAGTAGTGCTTCCAGTAAGTTGACTGCTGTCTTCTTTGCAATAGAAGAAATCAAGATATATCACATGGTAATAGTGTTCATAAGCAGTGATCTGTTTCAGTATTGATATTAATATTAAAATCCTTTGCCACTGTTTGTTCCATGCATGATAACGATGATCATTGTTTGATTTGTTTTGACTCCAGTCTGCCACACGTGCCCATGGTATAATAGCAACCCAGACACCAGTGACACCGACTGTTGTTGACTTTTGGAGACTGGTGTATGATCACGACTGTTTCACCATTGTCTGTCTCGAAGACGATAAGGTTGGTATCCCACACAAGGATTATACTCCGCTTTTGTTAACATAGTGTTCAGCAGTGACATCAAACATGGGCATCAGCTCGTCACGCTACACTGCAGAAGAAGTAGTCAACAGTCACCGCTTTAAATGGCATGAGAGCCTAACAACACCCTTGCAGAAAGCCTAATAAAATGTGCGGTCAATAGTTTGCGAACCGCTTTAAATGGCATGAGAGCCTAACAACACCCTTGCAGAAAGCCTAATAAAATGTGCGGTCAATAGTTTGCGAACCGCTTTAAATGGCATGAGAGCCTAACAACACCCTTGCAGAAAGCCTAGTAAAATGTGCGGTCAATAGTTTGTGAACACTTGAGATCCTTTTTGATTAATGTACCATCCAACGCTCTCTGTTTTTTTCCCTTATTCATAATATGTTTATTTGAAGTAAACAAACGTAGCCTATACTATTTTGCAGTTCTTTCAAACTTCAAATATGGGGCATGTAATGATATCAACACGTGCTTCATACACAATATACGTTGTCATCGATGAATTAAATAAATACTGTGTTTCTTGTGACATCTTCTGTTTAGATATGTGTGTAGGTTTTCTTTGGTGACGATATTGCAGGTGATTAGTGGGGACTACATATATGTCCTATTTGAATTAATGATAGTCTCAGATGTGTATATTTTCGTATTCATCTCATAGTTAACCTTTCAGAGACTGTATCCCATGAAGGATCAAGTGTTGGAGATGGGCCCTTTCCGAGTCACATACAACACAGAGGACACTACAAGAGACATCTTTACCATCGTTCAGATAACAGTAACACTGAATGAAGAGGTGCGACCTCATTCACCAGTCGTCAAATCATATTGAGCCATATGAAAGCACATAATATTTAAGATGATATGATTGCATCATATCAGTTCATATCATTTATGTATCAGGAAGTATGTCAGTGAAAGTAGTCAACAACATTCTAGCAATGTCAGGGTGTACTGTAGATAATCGAGTCTGTCTTAGACATACCCCTGACTGAAAACATGACCGACGCACAATCTCATTTAAATCAGAATTTGCAGCTTGGTGTGTTGGTCCAATCTCATTCAATCAGATCTTAGCTTTCGCTTCTGCTGAAGTAACGGGTCACATCAGACCAACCTTCCGCGAATTTTGACTGACCAATGGAATGACTGACAAGAGACGACATTAGCCAATCTGAAAGGCAGCTTTCTCAAGCTTTGCGGCTTTAGTTTCAAACTTGCGGCTTTGGTTTGAAACTTGTTTTGACAAATTCTCGATTAAAAATTTGAAAACGGAACAAACAAACATTCTGGAATGGCTAGTTGATTACCTAGATTGTCTGGATTCAGTAGTAAAACCCGTAACTGTCGTTTGGAATACCCAGTGTTAAATCTTTGTAGCGTGCACGATCAGAAATCGTATTCTGACAGTCCTTTACATGTTCTTGTCGGCGACGCTCTGATTTGTCAGATAAAAGGTCTTTCTGACGTTACCCTTAATGAGATGTCAACAGATCCTTGTTTAGCGGAAGCGATATCGAAGATCTGGTTATAATGAGATTGGATCAACACACCACGCCCAATAGGAGTGACACCAATCTGCCAGTTCATAGAGCATTGCTACCCAATCTCCATTAAGGTAGTTTGTTTGTGCTGGAGTTGGTGTCTGGGGATAGGAGTATTCATGTACTACAATCTATCACTTTACATCGTGCACATTATATTAAACTTTTGATCAGACGTAAAGACTGATGCCACGAGAATGCTAGTTACAACAATATCAAGTTCACTGTAATGTTTATGGTTTCCAGATCGATTCAAGTCGACTGATCACAGTGTACAAGATGAAATCCCGCATCCCTGGGAGCACGGAAGCTATGCTGGAGTTCGTGAATGAGATCGACACTATGGGTACTTCCGAAGACCACAAGACGCTTGTGCATTGTCCGTGAGTACAGATTCTGTTCTAAAGAACATGAATATACCACAGCATTTGTAAGCATAGTTCAAGACAAAAAAAAGACACTCTTTGTTCGATCCTATGCCCCTGGTCTCGTTACAGTGACGGTGCCCGACTGTGTGGAGTGTTCTGCAGCGTCCTCAACATCATCAGCAGACTCAGACTGGACAAGGATGTGGACATCTACCTGACCATCCGGGAACTCCAGTGTATCAGACACCAGTTCGTACAGTCGTATGTGAGTACTGAATACTGCCTCACCGTTGTACTATATCCAACACCCATTGTGACCTCACAGAAACAGAACGTTGTTGTCACAGTTATACTGATTTACTGAAAACTATTGTTATTTTGCGTTAAAAACACGTATGATTACGAAAAATCCTTTCACATATTTCGTCATTAAAACACAGTACCAATTTGATTTGAACTACAGTGTGTGACTGCAGTACCCTATTCTTGCCTGTAGTCACATTTACAGCCCGTGTATTCAAACTGCAGTGAACAAATCTATAAGTATGCACATGAAACGCATAACATGAGCTCGTTGCTAATTATAGCATATCTATATTTCACAGCTCTTATTTCATTCCCCCCAAAATGGCATAGGATAGGATAGCGTCGGTGTTGCGCGCCGTATTAAATTAATTGAAGTGCATATATACGTTATCTGTTCAGTTCACCATCACTTCTGGATCAGCAGACACCAACATGTATTATCTCTAGTTGTTATATTCTGTTGTTTTAGGATCAGTACAAGTTCTGTTACGACATGGTGAAGGAATACCACAGAGCTTCCAGTGTCTACGCAAATATGTAACACGGGTTGGTCGACATGGATCTTCACCTTATTGTTTGGAGACTTTTTATGTCTCAGGTACTATTTAGTCAGTTCTTTTATCTCAGTATATTTGTATTATTGACATGATTACAGTAATGCATGTGTTCTCAGCTGTGCAACTGTTAAAATATATATCTTCATCATGCACCTGCAGACAGACACGGACGTATTTCAGATGGTTGTAGTATTTCCTGATCACTCAATTACAGTGAAAAGGATCAATGTTATTTAAGGCCGCTTTGCAATATTCACGATATATCACTAGGCCCTGTACATGACTGAATCTGAACCAGGCAAATCATTGACAATAGACACAAGCAATGATCCGAGATTTATGGGCACTATGACACGCTATCAACCACGTTACCGATGTTGACTGGGTCAATACAACACGGGCAAACAAAATAGAATAGTGTAACTATTGCATGCAGTATAAGAAACTTTTGCATGTAATATGAGAAAGTATGACACAGCCAAGTTGTAAACTACGGGTGTTATGTTTAACTATATGGCACGGACAAAATCATACAGAAACGCCCAACACAGATATGTCATTCAACAATTCACATCACAGGCATTTTATAAAGGAACACATTGCATCCTTAATACAAATGTCAATTTTTGGTATAATTATCACAGGTGAGGTGAGGTTAAATGAAGTTTAACGTCGCTATAGAAGGATTATTGTACTTATATAGCGACGTGCATGCACGTGTGTGTATGTGGCTGTTTGTACTAGTCAAGACTAAGGTCGATTTTATTAGTGCTATCCCACTAAGATACCATGCCGCAGTTTAACATGGATACCCCACGCAGACACAGTATCCTGACTCCGAGGCGACCAGTCCTTGTATTAGCCCCTTAATGCCGCGCGCGAGGCAAGGTAATAACAAGTACAATCTTTTAACGTCTTTTGGTATGAAGCGGCCGGACCTTCCGATCGCCGGGTGGATGCTCTCCAACAAAACCAGGCGATCGACATGTCTATACGCTATTACTCGTTTCATCATTTTGACAGAGGTGATATTGTAGAGCAAATCTATACGGTTTAAACTTCCCGGGTTATTGTTAAAAGACATAAAACGTTAACGTTTCTAGACTGCACTTGGCTGACAATGTTATCACACATAGATTAACCCATGCAATTCTGGTATCACAGTATGTAAGAGACACCAATATACAAAGAGAGCAGTGTCATGTTATCTCACATAAATTTAATTTATCCCATTAACTGAGAATCGAAATTACAAATGGAAAAGATGCGATGGTCTTTATCCAATATGTCTGAAAATTGATAATCAAATTCATTGGCATATTGTGCATTCTGAATGGTGATTGATCCGTTTTCAGACCATTTAGATATCTATTGATTAAGTTCCACGTCGGACGTACAGAGTTTTTGTGCCGACAGTAGTAACTGGTCGCTGTTCTCATATCTATGACAAATATGGTGTATACACATGACCAGATTCATAAAGTTGTTATCGTACACCTTATGCACATGAAACATGTCATAAACCACACCTACAATTGATCAAACATATATTTGTGAAGCATGTTGTTTTCAATAGTAACATTATTCTGTCGAAACTACACTTCCATTTTCTTTCATTGTTTCACAGCAAAAGTGTTCATTCCAAGTAGTTATTTTCTTGTCATACAATTATGCTCATTCAAGCAAACAGACACTTTCATCTTTATATTGTGAACAATGTATCAGCTTTTAGTTGTGCTATTTAAATAAATGACCATTTCATTTGTCATTGTATTATTGTTCCCTGCCATGTAAGGAAAGGATTTCATGACATGAAATTCTGTTCGTTTTGTGGTAAATCTCTTACTCCAAATACAACATGATAGATAGATAGATAGATAGATAGATAGATAGATAGCTTGATAGATAGATAGATAGATAGATCCTTCAGAAAAAGCCAGATTTGTGCGAGGTAGGAAAATACATTTATTCGAGGAACCGCACAAGGTATTGAGCCATAATGTTGTGGAGAGAACACTTGGTGATTGTAGTCATCTCACTTATCGGAAATAATATAAGACATAGGAAAAGTCCATCAATAATGCTTATGTCCCACGTTGGAATCGATAGCGGCCTTGCAGCTCCTGCCAATGGAAGAGACGAGTATGCAAATCACATCCTGGGAAATAGTAGCCCACTCGGCCAACAACTGCAACGTCTGGGGTTGTGGTTGACGTCGGCGTATCTGAGACATATTTGAAACTAGTATGTGACGATAAAACGATTTTAATATACATAACAAAACATGATAAAAACGACCTAGAGATCGCCAGCAACCAATGTTAGGCCACCATACTTGGGAGCGTGGGGACTTATAATATTTCTGCTCCCCAGCAGGATTTACACCATGACTTCCTCAAGTCATTTTAGATTTTAGTCAATTGTGGTTATCAATTAAAACTAACAAATATATTACGATTAAAAATGGGGGAGACCCAAATGTACTTTGAATGATGTGGAACTTACGTACTCTTTCAGGGGGACAATAATTTTACAGTACTTTAACCCCCTTCAAGAATACAGCCACTAACAATCTCAGTTTGCAAATTTAATCTACCAATTTTGCAAATGACATATAGACAATTTCAAAACATTTTAATCAAAGTTTTTTAAAACAATTCAATTTCCTTTAAAAAAACTAATCAAATGAGAACTTATACGATTAAAAGATCCTTGATAGTTGATGATTTGAAATATTTATCCCTTGTGATGGCAAAATCAATACAGAACATGTTGCTTTACCAAATCTCATTAAAATCAGATCTTAGTTTTCGCTACCGCTAAACAAAGATCTGAGGACATCCCATTACGGGTCACGTCAGAACGACTTTTCGCGAATTTTGACCGACCAATGAAATGACCGACAAGAAATCGACATTAGCCAATCAGAAGACAGCTTTCTCGAGCTTTACGACACTAGTTTCAAAATGGCGACTACGCTTCGAAACATATTTTGACGTATTTTCTTTAAAAAAAATTAAAACTGACAAGAAGAAAATTCTGGAATGGCTTATAGATTGCCTAGATTGTATGGATATAATCATAAAACCCGTAACTGTCGTTCGGAATACCCCCGTGTTAAATATTTCGTGGTTGCATGAATAGAAAACATATTCCAACTGTCACTTTCATGATCTGTTAAGGGATGCTCTGAATGGTTGGATGAAAGGTCGTTCTGACGTAACCCTTAAAGGATATATTCAGATCTTTGTTTTGTGATAGCGAGAACCAAGATCTTATTTTAATGAGATTGATGCTTTACCGTGATTCCCTCACCACAATGGATACAAAATGGAGGATCACACCATCTGTTGTGGCCAATACGATGTCGCATAATGACCTCTTCAAATCTCGATTGGTTGGTTGGTTTGTTGTTTAACGCCGCACTCAGCAGGTATGTGACCGCGGTCTGTAAATAATCGAGTCTGGACCAGACAATCCAGTGTTTGATATCATAAACCTCGATCCACGCAATTGGGATCAATGACATGCATCAACCAAGTCAGCGAGCCTGAACAGCCGATCCTGTTAGTTGCCTCTTACGACAAGAATAGTAGCCTTTAACAGCAAGCATGGGTTGCTGAAGACCTATTCTACCCCGGATCTTCACGGGTCACGTAATCAATCTCGCACATTATCCACCGCAAATAGGTGGATCTACAGATGTGGTTCCAATTGAAATCCTCTACAGTCACAGTTTTGGGATGCGACAATGCATTGGGTCTGAAGATTCCACTTTTTTAATTTTCCCTGGGTCATGCATGTGCGATGATCTCTTAGCTGGATCGACAGTTGTAACATGTGGAACTGTTAGTGAGACAGGATGGTCCAATACAGAAATATTTCAATGATATTTAAAAGGCCATTTTGTGAAGTATGCCAAAATCGGAAGTGACAAGAAAACTCTCCTGCTATATGACGGCCACGGGTCTCACATCAAAAGCTATGTTCGCCAGCCGATTGATGTTAAGTGCTTTGGCCTTCCACCAAGATTTTCAGTTTTGAATGAGCGAAGTGGCAGCGGTCAAATTCTGGAACAGTTAACAGATATAGCGTCTGTTCCTTGGAGTGTAAGGCAAACGAGATTTCTCTGTCGGCAAAGTGCTTTCAGGAAATGAAGCCATCTACGTTTGCCCATCAAAAGCTGAAAAAAGCATCAGAAACGTCAGTTACACGTGTCCTTCCAGATCCTGACATCGTTGAACAGCAATCAGATTAAAAATAATTTTGAAGATCATCTACCTGTTGTTACCATCAAGAAATCGAAGCCAAAACGTTCTATCCATAACATCGTTGGTGAACAAGCTGTCACTGAACCAGATATTTCATCTCAAAACACGACTTGCATCAACCAGTCCAAACAGTCAACAAAAGTAGGAAGCAAGGCATCAGCATCAACTCCAAAGCCAAGACAAACAAGCGTATAGTTGACAAAGTCATCTATATCCCCCGCCCATTTTAACACGTTATGGTCCCAAACCAGGTAACTGACCCAACATTTCTCTTGGCCCATGTCAAAATAGCTGCAATGGAAATTCTAAAATAAACATTTCTAAAACTCCTTAATATCAAATGGCACTAGTTCAGTATGCGCTTTATATATAGACATGCAATTTTTGGCAAGGAAATATTTAACAGTTTATTTGTTATACTACTTAAGTAAACCAATCCTATATTTAAACTTAAATCAAACTTGTTGTCATGGAAACATAAACAATAAAAGATTCTAAAAAGTGCTATATATCAAAAGGCACCATTTCAGTATGTGCCTGGTAGACATGCAAAGTTTTGTAAGAAAGTATTTAACTTTTTTTGAGTTACACTCTGGAAACGAACACCACCCTGAACACAACTTATTGCCATGGAAACGTGAAAAATAAAAATTTCTAAAATTCCTAAATAGCAAGAGGCACTAGTCCAGTATGTGTATGGTAAACATGCAAAGTTTTTGTTGGAAACTATTAAATGGGTTTTGAGTTATGCTCCGGAAACAAACTCTACCCTATAGAACCTAAGTCCAACTTGTTGCAATGGAAACGTAAAAAATAAAAATTTATAAAATTCTTAAATAGCAAAAGGCACCAGTTCAGTATGTGCCTAGTAGACATGCACAGTTTTGTAAGAAATTATTTAACAGTTTTTGAGTTATGCTCCGGAAACGAACACCACCCTTATAGAACCTAAGTGCAACTTGTTGCCATGGAAACGTAAAACATAAAAATTTATAAAACTCCTATATAGCAAAAGGCACCAGTTCAGTATGTGTCTGGTAAACATGCAAAGTTTTGTAAGAAATTATTTAACGGTTTTTGAGTTACGCTCCGGAAACGAACAGCACCCTTATAGAACCTGAGTCAAACTTGTTGCAATGGAAACGTAAAAAATAAAAATTTATAAAATTCCTAAATAGCAAAAGGCACCAGTTCAGTATGTGCCTAGTAGACATGCAAAGTTTTGTAAGAAAGTATCTAATGGTTTTTGAGTTATGCTCCGGAAACGAACACCACCCTTATAGAACCTAAGTCCAACTTGTTGCCATGAAAACGTAAAAAATAAAAAATTATTAAACTCCTAAATAGCAAAAGGCACCAGTTCAGCATGAGTCTGATAGACATGCAGAGTTTCGTAGAGAAATATTTAACGGTTTCTGAGTTATGCTCCGGAAACGACTTCGGGACGCACACACGCACACACACACACGCACACACACGCACACACACACACGCACACATACACACACACACGGACGGAACCCATTTCTATATCCCCCGCCAACTTCGTTGGGGCAGGGGATAATAAAGTGACAACAGATAAGACGACTGGCAAGTCTACATGAGACAAGGATGAGCAGGACAATATTAGGAAATCTGATACATGTCCCACTGTTGTGTCGTCCCAACAACCGGGGACCCCTAAAGATCCGGGGTAAAATAGGTCTTGTTGTTTAACGCCGCACTCAACAATATCCCAGCTATATGACGGCGGTCTGTAAATAATCGAGTCTGGACCAGACAATCCAGTGATTGATATCATGAGCATCGATCCACCCAATTGGGATCAATGACATGCATCAACCAAGTCAGCGAGCCTGACCAACCGATCCCGTTCGTCGCCTTTTACGACAAGCATAGTCACCTTTTACGGCAAGCATGGGTTGCTGAACACCTATTCTACCCCGGAATCTTCACGGGTACCATATAACTGTAATATTGCTGAGTGCGTCGTTAAACAACAAACAAACAAACAAAGCATGTCATCGTATTTCATTAGCATGTATCGATGCTCATGCTATCTATAACTGGATCGTCTTGGCCAGACTCGATTAGTCGCCTCTTACGACAAGCATAGTCGCCTTTTACTGCAAGCATGGGTTGCTGAAGACCTATTCTACCCCGGGTCTTCATGGCAGGCTATTTCATTGAAGGTATCCAAAGAAAGTATAACAAACGACCATTGATTAAATTTGCATACTTTTCTATACACTTACTCTATAAGAACTGTTTTATTTGGGATAACAAATTCTCAGTAAGGTACCGATCCTCGTATTTTTTTGGGTTGCGTCCCGTCCGGGATTCGAACCAACACTGCCAGAGTGAGGCACCTAATCCCCAACACACAAAGTCAGCGATCTAACCCCACTCAGCCACCGATGCTTCCACAAAATGAAAGTCCAACAAATGGTAGTCTAGACCACGTACTTTGTGTACCCCTCTGACAAGTGTAAATGGG